GCCCGGGTTAATGTGCGACTTTGCTTCCCAGGTGAGGAGCTAAACAGAGGAAATGAGGCTTCCAGGGGCTGGCAGGAGATGTGGGGATGCTCCACAACGGCTGGAAAAAAGGGAAAGGGTGTAGGAAGTGTTCCCCGTGAGGAGATGATAACTTTCAGAGCTTCAGAGGTAGTGAGAGGACACGGGGTGAGTCGACATGGACCTTCTGCTCAAAGGGGCTTTCTACAACCACCAAGATGGTGGAAAGGTAAAAGACTGAATACGCCCTCAACCTTAGACGAGTGTAGAAGCATACTCTAGACACTCGTGTTACTCATGAGTAAAAATCTTGTATGTAACCTTTTTAAGTTTTCCTAAACAATAGTTGTATGTTGTTGTTTGTCATTTTCAGCACTGTCCCTGTGACTAAACATTTATTTTCTGCCACTTCACTCTGACCTATAAATCATTCAGCCAGAAAAAGGCCTCTAACTCAAGGGATGAGCCAGTGTTTAGGAGCAGAACGGAACCTAGCAAAGAGGCAGTTTAAATAGGATCTTAAGGCTCTTTGTTACCAGCAGCCTGTCACAAAGACACATCATTTGATCCCATTTCCTTGGTTTGCGTGAGAAAATGCCAAAGACAACACAGTCTGACAAACAGAAAAAAAGGATTTCCAAGGCAGCTTTCAGCTGAAAACTTGGAATATCTCAGCACGCTGTGCAGAGTGTTCTTAAAACATTTGAGGAAACTGGACAAGTGGAGGACAAAAGAAGAAGTATTAAGCCTATAAAACTATCCATAGCAGATCAAGAGGATCAGAAAGTGATGTCCTTATAAAGAGGAAAGAATCCAGCAAAGACCTGACAGGACCTGGGAGATGCATCTGGACCTTCAGCTGACCCATCTCCTGTTGGACCAAGCCTCATCAGAAATGCTCTCCATGAAGGGTGGCTGCCAAGAAACCATTCTTAAGGAGGTGGAAGCTGTGTTGGAAGGTAAGGTTGCTCAGACCAAATATTGACTTTAAACTTATTAGAATTACATGATTCTGTTTCTGTCTGCTACAATTACTTTCATGTTTGCGCTTATTATAATTAATCTGCACCGTTTTACACTTTTCCTGGCAACATATAAAGAATAAAAGACTTTTCTAAAGTCCTGAGTGCTAGGCAGATGAATCTCTTTTAAACATGCCATTCTTAATCATTTTGCCATATTCTGTATTTGACAGCAGTAAATAGGTCTTTGAAAGGATTCCCAGGCTGGATGTTTGTGGGGAATTAGGAAGGCAGTTTGTTTCATTGTTCACAGACAAAATCTTGTTAGCCTCCATTCAGCCGGGGGTCAGACTGCCTTTGATCTCAGCTCTGTAGCCGAATGATTAAAGACGTGCTGATCGATATTGGATACTGACCACACAGTAATGGCCCGTGTGCATGAAGAGACTTCTTGTATTAAACGATATGGAGTGCCTCACATTGACTGACTTGAAATGCCGGTGAGCCGGTTCATTGACTTTGTTAGCATCTAAGCAACTTAAAGCGGACGTGCAAAGGAAACAAGGTTATTATTGAAGCACCTGATTTGTCCTCTGAAGGTGACACGTGCACCGAAGAAAAGCCTTTCATGGATTCTTAAATCCTGTTCTGTTTGACTTCCTGTCTAATCTGGCAGTTGTGGAGAAGAGAAGTCACACTCTTAAGGAGGCTTTCATGTGAAAACCGACTCTGAGGGAGTGTTATTGACCTGTAAATGCGTCTTCTCAACAAAAAGCCACTTATAGATTTACGTCTGCTTTACTTAAACTATTTCAGCGTGACTAAGTGGAGCTAGATCTCTGATTTAACACTGGTTTATTGTGGAGTTATCTGAGCTTTAGATGATGAGACGACATCAGCTTAGCTTTGTAATACCTTCCAAAGAAGGTATTACAAAACAGGGAAAGAGAATCATTTGATGATGTATTCCTGAGATAAAATACGACAAATGACACAAACGTTTTTATGCTTTACAGCTAAAATTATACAGTTTCTGAAATTTAGCAGTGATATGTCAGTGATTTGCTAAAAAACAACAACATTGAAATGTCTTATTAGCATTTATAAGCCAAAATGGGCTTAAAAGGACCTACTCAACATGAACAGAACCCATTAAAACTTTAGATGTAAAGGCATTGTTGGTTTCTAAAGACCATTGATCACATTTTAGCAGTGGGATTTAAACACCCTGAGGGCATCATTATACTTTCCTAAACTTTTTGTTTTCCTCCTTTCTTGTTTTCATTCGATTCTGCAATAGCCTAATGCATCCCTGTGTTAACTCACACACAAAGAGAGAGGCACTGTGTGTGCAACCAGTGCATTAAATATGCAAATAATGCCCTTAAACACAACTACGGTGCATGCATATTTTCCCTTAAATTTAGGACGATCGCCCCTTCACACGGTTTTCATGATCTTATTTCTGAGCAGGGGAATCAACAATTGGTGACACACAGTCAAAAATAAACAAGAGAAGATTTGCGGGAAAGACCAAATAGTGGAGCATCCACCGGTGCAGCAGGTCTATTTTTAGTCGGGAACTACATGGGCGCAGACTGCAGACAGTGAGAGGGGAAATCACCGGCGCTGCTTTGCTGCTGTTTTTACCCACCCGCTGACCTGCTGCTGCTGAGCCGCGCGAGGCCAGGAGAATGAAGACTCCAGAGCAGATGTTTCCCTCTCTGATGCGGCTCTGACGACGGGGAGGAACAGAAAGTACAAACCGGGGGGGAAAAGGGGGTCTTATTCCCCCTGCTTCACACTGGGATCAGACAGATGCGCGTGCTGATCCTCGTTGAGATGCGCTTGGATTACCGAGAGTGACCCCTCTGATGAGTCCTGAGATCACAGGTGACCCCTTCTGAGGGGGAAGACAGGTGGTCCGCGCACTGGAGAGAGAGAGACGGAGAGGAGAAGAGAGAGAGAGAGCAGGAGAGAGAGAGAGAGAGAGAGAGAGAGAGAGAGCGAGGAGGCGCGCGCGGCACAGTGGTATAGGGCTACTTTTTCCTGACGACACAACAACAACAGTCAACCTGTGGATGAGCGCTCGCGGTGCTCTGCCCGTGTCCTCCGCAGCCTGCACCCTCTCCCCCTCCGACACCCAGCCCTGACCCCCGGACCCCCAGGACCCGCGTGAGCCGGGAAAGGGTGCCTGCTCGATTCCAGACAAGTTGAAGGGGGGGGTCGCGCGCCATCTCCCGCTTCGTGAATGGCCGGAACATGGAGGAGATGCCGTTCGAAAGAGTTAAGACGCGGAGACGGAAGGGTCACTGCCCGGCCGGCGGGGCCCTGGGCGCCATCGCCTGCGAGGACGAGTTCAACAGCCCGGAGCTGGAGTCCCTGTTCCAGGTGTACAACCTGAAGCTGGAGCAGACGGCCACGCTCAAGGCGCTGGCGGTGCTGATCGTGGCCGCGTCGTCGCTGTCCCTGGTGGAGCTGCTGTCCAGCCCGCGGCTCACCTTGTCCAAGGGCTCCTACCCGGTGCACTGCGTGGTGTTCCTGTCGCTGTTCATCGTCACCAACGTCAAGTACCTGCAGGTCACGCAGCTGCAGCAGATCGCCAAGCTGGCGCTGCTGTTCAGCTTCACCTTCGCGCTGCTCTGCTGCCCCTTCCCGCTGGCGCTGGGGACCTCGGAGCTGGTGGACGCCGCTGCCCCCGAGCAGGGCGTGTGGCAGCTCATGCTGGTCACCCTCGTGGCTTACGCGCTGCTCCCCGTGCGGACGCTGCTGGCCGTGCTCTTCGGGGTGATGCTGGCCGCATCCCACTTCATTGTCATAGCGACGTCCCTCACGGGGAGGAAGCAGAGGCTATGGAGACCGGTAAGTCCTCCACCTCGCATCCCCGGCCAGCAAAAACACAGCAGCCATCGTGCGTGTTCAGTTCAAGTTTCACTCAACAACTTCAGCCCAAGTGCCTCCTGCAGGCACTCGGACTGAAGTAGTCACTGTAGGACTGTAGAGTGGTGTCGAGAGCCAGACTATTTATTCGCTTTCCCGGGAGACAGAAAGGTTAAACAACACGCTCGGCATCGATTTTAGCTCCGGGACAGTGAAGCTGTAGAAGTGGAAACCAGCAGACAGGCTCACTTTTGCGCATCGGTGTGACTCAGTGGACGCGGAGCTGTCCAGCCACTGGGTGCTGAAACAGGATCTAAAACGCGTCTGTTGAGTCTTAGCTGAGAATTTGAGAATTCGGATGGCAGCTGTAGCTGCAGGGCACAGTCTGGGTTCTGGGGGCTAACAAGTGTTTGGGAGTTTATTATTGTGGCTTGATTCCCTTTGGTCTTGTGAGCTGTTGACAGGAAAAAGTGTAAAGGTTAACATCCAGCTCCAAGAAAACATTCTACATAAAGTTTTGAGGTCAGAATCCAAATATATTGCTCATTCTTTATATTGAATATGGCCCTCCAAACAGACCTGGTAACAGGTTGTTGTGCGTGAGGTCGTGTTTTTCTTGGTTTCACATTAAATACCCAGATGCCCCAAATCTGACCTTCCACCTCTGATTTGATCAGAATTTAAGGGCCGTGTGGAAAATTAATTGTGGGACAGGCTTCAAGAGTCATCAATCACGGATCAATAGTGCACTCTGTGTGCCAGTTGTTCCACTCTACAGCCCTGGGTCTCTGATTCCCATCTATTCTTGATCACCTCCCCGTTGTGTCGTCACTTGTTTTGACAGATTAATCCTCAAATCTTCCAGGAGTTTCTGCTGTTATGGTGTTCTTTCACACCGGCTTTGTCGGGCATGCCTGCTCTTGTCTGTGTGCAGCTGGTGGCCAACGCCGTGCTCTTCGCCAGCGTCAACGTGTCGGGGGTGTTTGTGCGGATTCTCACCGAGCGCACCCAGAGGAAAGTCTTCCTGCAGGCCCGCAACTGCATCGAGGAGCGTCTGCGGCTGGAGGACGAGAACGAGAAACAGGTGAGGCGCGGAGGCACATCCGCTGCGTCTGCGCACGGCCCTTCCCCCGAGCGCGCACGCCCGGGAAAAGCTTCACGGTTGCTTTGGAAGTTTTTCTTTGAAAAGGTTGGAGGTGCCAATGGATTCCAACAACCTGCCCACGGGCACGCGTAACTATGACAGCAGCTATTTAAGGAAAGAACAATTACTGTGGCGCATGCACCGGCGCCACACTTTCCACCCCCTCTGCACACACCCACATGGAGTGATTTATCCACCAAACAATCAGGCAACTTTAACCCACGGAAAGGCTTTAGTTATGTGCCGCACCCACCTTTTATCACACAGAAAATTAATTATCCCCTGTATTTAAAATGTCTTGGCTTCCTTCTCCTCTACGCTTGCGAGCACACGTGCTCACTTAGCACCTGTTCTTTGTAGATTAGGTGACGATATGCTGTGTTTTCCCCAGCAGTATCAGGCTCCCTTCTGACAGGTAATTATACAAGCAGATTGCTTTCATGGCCTTCCCACTCCAGTAAAGGTCACAGTTTATCTGGGCGAGGGAAACACACACAGACTCCCTGATTGGGATCTACAGCCAGCTACTGGGCCTCTGCCCGTGAACACACGTCTCAGGCTGGATAATCACCCATCAAACGGCTGAAACATGCCTCTGGTTGTCACCCGGGTGTTTGCTGGGGTTTTAGCTTCGAGCCGATCCACAGGTTGTATTGATTCCCGAACAAGCGTGGGCTATATTCAGTACTCCTGGGCGGTCACCCGGCCTCTCGGCTCAATAGCAAACCTCAAAGCAGAGAGGTAATCCAAAGCTTCCTTTTCATTCACAGGAGCCAGGAGAGGCGGATTCAATTGCTCGTTAGTGGCGGTCAAGTTCCCAGAGTCTGTAACAGCTTCATTCTTAATCTTTGTTACCTTAAAGGTCAAGGTTTATTCCTGACTTCAGGAGTTCTGCTTCAGATTAGCCCATTTAAACTAGTTTGTTTTTGTAGGCGAAGTAGCCTCTAAGCAGCTTTTATACTGAGCCAACATTGACAGATATCAGTTCCTGAACAGCTCAGGACTTTGATTTGGAATTGTTTGATACATATCCAGACTGAATAAAAGCCATAAATGTTATTTGAATTTGCAATGTAGCTTGGCACTGTGGGAAGGAAATGCAAAGCTGTGCCCTATTTTGTCATTTTGATGGACAGAAATCTGGTCTCATCCGTGATAAAACTAGTGACGTTTGGACAGCGGTGAACATAATAAATATTCAAAATGAACTGAATCCATAAATGTGAATGAGCAGGAACAAAAAACTTGGGATAAAACAACAGTGAAGCAGAGGAGGCCCTAAAAACCAGGAGCCACTTTTAGACTAAAACAGGAAACAAAATGATCACTATAACAGCAAAAGCTGAGAAAATACAATATGCAAATAGGCAATAAACTCTTCTTGGAGGCAGCCATTTTGGAAAAAACTATCCACAAAACTCATCATGTAAACTCAACGAGAGCTCCATGCTGTTTCCTGTGGGTTTGATGAGCATTTCAATTTAAATTAGGATTCGGAAGGTGAGTCAAAAACAGAGGCAGACAAGGTCTCTGCGATCATGATTCAGGGTTCAAATGTACAAATACATATTAAGAATACGACTGCAAACGCATCCAAACACTCAGTGTCTTCATTTTTAAACACACAGAGCCTAGAGTGAATTAAACCGGGACAGATCAGAGAAATGGGAATCATTAGCGTGTGATTATAACGCACTCGGGACACAGAAGTGGAAGAGATTAATAAAGCGCGAGAATTAATAATTTTAGTCAAACAAGCACAGCCGGTGGGATGGGAGGAGAACCTGAAAGACTCTGCCTCTCTCTGATGATTCATCCTACATTCACAGTCGTTTGACATCCAGCCAAAATGTAACAGAGACTATTCACTGGTTCCAAACAGGAAGCCGGGTCAGACGTAGGCTGAACTCAGCTTCTATGGGATCTGCTTTCCGCAGGTGGATTGCTCTCTGCTGAGTTTAACCTGGATTCTCCTTTTTTCAAAAGTTATCTCATCTTCCTTTACTGTCTATCTTTACCTTTCTTTCTATTTGTGTCTTTATTTAGTTGGGCCAAACCTTTCTCTAAGTTTAAAGTGTTAGGAACGAGGAGGAGCAGCTGAATCCTGCTGTTTGTTATGAATACACCTCAGTTTGCAAAACCAGCTGCGTCTTTAGGTTACTTCCCTGACAGTTCCACAGCTTTGGAGCTCTAACGCTCGCTCTTCTTCTGCTTGAACCCTTTTCCTCCTCAGGAGCGCCTCCTAATGAGCCTGCTCCCGAGAAATGTTGCCATGGAGATGAAGGAGGACTTCCTAAAGCCGCCTGAGAGGATCTTTCACAAGATCTACATCCAGCGCCATGACAATGTCAGGTAACGGGGTGTCATGACAACTGCAGAGGTGTGCTGGAGTGTTTGATCCAGATGTGACGTCTGGGTCGAGAATAGATGGAGAACAACTAAGATTAGTCATTAGCGCAGCTGGAGATGAGCTATGTAAAGGTTAGAGAGGAAAGGTAAAAAATGACCATAATCTGAATCTGCAGACATCACCAGATCTTTACGAAAGTTGAAGCCTGTGGAGCAGCTGTGTGATCCTCAGATTTTACTGTTGTGGCTCGCTCTCACCGCTCTCACACATTAATCTTTTTGTCAGTCTCAGCAGGCAGATTTTATCAGTGGCAAAAAGAAAACAGCCAAAAACACATTTACCTTAGCAACAACCAGAAAGAGTCACAGGTTAATGCACTTAAACCAAAGGCTCATGCTTCTGCTGCTACAAAAAGAGGAAAATAATTAGTCATTAATGATAAATGAATGAATAAATGGGGAAAGAATTAACTCCAGAACGCCACCGTCCTAGAGGCAGAACCTGTCTTTCTTTGACTCTTCCGCATCTTGTTTTTTCTGTGCTGGAAAGACTTTTTTTTATCCACATCTGTTGTGATGTGAAACCATGGAAACAGGAAAGTTGTTCACCAGCTTTCAGAAGCTAAATAAGTTCCCACAAAAAGACAAATATATCAAAATGAGTTAAAGGCGAGATGCCTAAGACACTGAGCAGAAGCAGAAAGGAAAAACAGATGGTTAAACCAGTTGTTCCCCTGATCTTCATGGGAAATGGGAGTCAGTTTGTTGTATGGTTTGGTTGTCTTCCTATTTTCTTTCTTCCTGTCCCTTCTGTCAGGTTTGGCATTTTTGAACACACGTAAAGTTTTGGAACAAAAATAAATAAATAAATCTATAATGGTTTTTCCACACTAACCCGGTGGCCCCTTTAGGAAGACGTTGGAGCAGTCAGGGTGACCCAAGCTATTCTTACTCCTGCACAATGTGTGTGATCCTTCAAAACTGAAAAAGATTTTTTGGGATGAGAGGAGAAACCAAGAAGAAATCCAGTTGGGGATTAAAATGACCGAAATGACTAAGAATCTACACCATCGTACAGCACAACAGACCCTTTTTTATTTGCTTTAAGGCAAAAAACAAAAGATTATCATCCATTTTGCCTTTATACTAAGGTAATAGTTCTTTCAGACACCCCCTCCACTGTTAAGAGATGAAGGGGAAAAATAAAAAGTGTTACAACTTGGCCTGACTGGGGGACAGATAGTGAGGTTGTAAAGAGATGAGAGGAGGTGTTGCTTTGCTCTGAGTGCAGGAATCGAGTGTAAGGTAGCACATCAGAAACACTTCTGTCAAGACACAATCCTCCACTCTGTATCTGCTCTGCTCCCAGACGCCCCGAGAGCATCGCTGCCCATTCATCACCCTCATTGGCACGCTGGCGCTAAGCCAAATCTCACTTTCTGTCACTTTGGGAAGACACAAACACAGAGAAGTACTATGTTTCATATGAAACCAAGCAGAAGGTGCCACAAAGCCAGAAAAACCTGAAACTAAACTTACAAAACCACAAAAGAAGAACAAACTATGAACGTAGAGAGGGAGGAGGATCTGAAGAGAACAGGCTGAACCTTGAGAGGTTAAGCAGGGGAGAGTGATGCTGAATGAAGGCAGCTGAGGAAAGGGAGAAAAGGTGGCGGGAATGGAGCCCATGACCAGGATGGAAAATACTGAAGAGGGAAGTTAAGCAGAGGGGAAGAGGAGGGGGCAGGAAACTGGGGCATGACAATAAAACAGGATACAGAACCTAAGGGAAACTGTAAGACAACTGAAACTAGAGCCAAGGAATTAGAAATACACCAAGAACAAATAAACAAGAAAAACTAGAAACTCAAATGAAGACACATTTCAAAAACCAACAACAGAGTCCAAAGTGAACCAGCTCTGGCTCATCCCCACCAAGCTGCTACAGTGGCACGCATAAACACCCGCTATGCACATTCACGAAAAAGGGAAGCCACGCTCCCCTGATCTGGCCCATCCTCGCCGTGGTTAGCTCTGCCAGCTCGTGCTTCCCCGCCTCGCCTTCCCTCCCTCGCCCACCGCGCATCAGCACGACCTGCAACCATTCAAAGGGAAATCTCGCAACGCAGCTCCTCTGTGGAGCGGCAGTCGTGATCCCGGCTTTGCATACATCAGGCTCCATGAGCGGCTTTACCTCTGCCAGAAAGAGCCCGCTGCCACAGTCGCCGTGCAGCGGGGCCCACTCACACAGGCAGACCCGCTGCCATCTACCAGAGCAGATTATGCTTTCTGGACATGTTCGCTGAAATATCTACCCAAAAAACAAGCTGTTTTAATCATGTTGAACTCTTGGAATTGGGTTTGGAGACAGAGGTGAGTTTATAGGGTGGTCTTTGACGATATTGTCCAGAGGAAGAGTTGAAGGATGTTAACTTCACTTTACATTAAAATCTCCTCCCTCTCCCTCCTGACAGCATCCTGTTTGCAGACATTGTGGGTTTCACAAGCCTGGCTTCTCAGTGCACTGCTCAGGAACTGGTCAAGCTGCTCAACGAACTCTTTGGGAAGTTTGATGAACTGGCCACGGTGAGTGTTCCCATTCCTGTTCGCTCTCTGTTAATGCTCAGCTCACCTGCTTCACCAGGACAGTCACAATAAGAATCAACAGTCTGCAGATGGTGAATGAAACTGATGACTTTCCAGACAATAAGGACAATAAACAGCTTTTGCCTTGTATATGATCTTATTTGGAATATTTACACTCAAAGATTTCCGTCCGGATACTCGAGGCTGGCATCACAAGCTGTGAGACGTCATGGCTGCATCTTTGTGAGATAATTAATACCTCATTAGCAGAGGCTACAGGGGTAGAAATGAAACGTTTATTGTTTCTGTACAGAAAGATGTTGTCTGTGAAGACCAAAAATTGAGGGATTTCTATGTTGTGGCTGCTGCCCCTTCAAAGTTCAATTTGAGGAATGTGCTGTGTGTCAAGTTCAAGTAAGGGAAATGTCAATTTTTGTGATGAAGTATGTGATGTGGAATGTTTGTGTTTGTTTCTGCTCTATTGTCTCATTTGGACTCCTAGTGGTCTGACTTTCTGGTTTAAGTCGTTTACATTCCTCCAGTTCATAAGGATAATCCCTGTTAAATGTTCTCTGTTGGTATTTGTGCTTATACTTATGTGCACCTGGTTATCCTGAGTTTTCCTGATTGGGTTATGCGCTCCATTTCCACACATCTCCTCTCAATCACTTCCTTTTAGTTTCCCCCATGTATATTCTCCTTCATTTAAATCAGTCCGCTAGAGACAATCACCGTTATTGCCCATTAGAAACTCTCCCTAATCTGTGAACTGTTTTTGTAAATACAATTTTCTGGTTGGTGTCTTCAATAAACCCCAATTCAAGTTTCATTCTGCCTCTGGATGGCTGATCTGCCCATCTGGATCCTCATATCCTCCTAGGAAAATGATTTAGAGGCAGACCAATATGATAATCTGGAAGTAATTACAGGAATACCTGGAGAATATATGATGAGAAAGTAATTACAAAATAAACAACAGAAACCAAGTGTATCAAGGATGTGCTGAAACCAACAGAAGTCAACAAACAAATCGGGATCTGTTAGAATAAAAGAGCAAATAATAATACCAAGAAAATCAAACACCAGCGTGAAACTAAAGAGATTCACACCAACAAACACTCAGCCATGAGATCAAGCTGGTAGAGATGGAAATCACTGCACAGATAGAGATGTTAGCATGTGTGTTAGGATGCTTAAGATTATCTCATTTTCTCTTTTTTATTCTTATGTAGATTTATCTTTAATAGAAACTCTATAAAATATCAAGAGGAAAGGGGGATCATGATAAACAACATAAAATGTTATTTTTTGTCGGCAAACAGCCTCTGTTGGCTTCATGTTTCTTATCTGGTCACGTAGATTATTTATCCCACTTAATCATCTATGTATCGATCCAAATAGTGAGAGCAAAGCAGGTGAGGCTGACTGACATCGGTAGAGGAAGGTCAAGATGGAGAAGGCATGGACGTGAGAGAGGAGAGATGTTTAAAAAGAGGAGAGATAAAGGCTGAGGAGGTGGATTGTTTCAGTGTGAGTCTGTGTGTGTGTATGTGTCTGATAAAGCACTACTGGGACGAGAGAGTGTGCACGGTAAACCTGTGTAGCGCTGTTCTCAGGGAAAGAAGATTAGGTGAGTGATAGGTTATCTGCAGCCAGACCACTGTAATCATATCAAAACTGCATGAGCCACACACAAACACACACAGTTCCTCCCCGTGTTTTAGAGGACACTGTATTGGCATATAAGTACAGAAAATTCTGTCAGTCCTCTTTCTCTCCTTTCCCCAAAGGGAAACAAGTGGGAAACAGGAGCTCCGGAGGAACACAAATGTATCGTAAAAATACGTCAGACACAAACTAAAACTATGCTGGAGAAAACAAAACCCCAAAAAACAAAGAAGTACACGAAGACCAAAAAATACATGAAATGATGAGGAGAAACTAGTCAAGAAGGATAAGAATCTGACAGAGTGAAGAAAAAACAGAGGCTATAAACACCCGATTCAAAACATTTCTTCAGGCCCTTCACACCTGTGCAGGACTCAATCTTTCAAAAAGATCCTTTCAATCTGAACTGGCAGCATCAAAGCAGGGAAACATCTCAAACCCAAAGAGGACCAGAGGTCTCTAGATCTTTGTGAAAGTCTCTGTCTGGTGCTGAAAAGAGGCAGGCAATGCTGCATCCATTCATCCACGTCACGATGAGACAAAAAGCTTCATGTCCGTTAACTGACTTCAGACCTGGGAAATGAACTCTGAACTCTATGCTGCCCTCTGGTGGGGCATTGTCCAACAATTACCTTGTTCTAAGAAGCACATGTTTGGGACTGCTTTGATTTCTATGCGTGAAGCACTTTCTAAGCCTGATCGCTTTAAAATCAGCTGCTCTGTGGACTCTCTAAATCAGGGATCTCGGACCGGGTCCAAGATCCCTGATTTAGTCCTGCAGGTTTTAGATGTTTTTTTCTGTTTCAACACACCAGATTCACGTCGGTGCACCATCAGCAGAATTGTGAAGAACTAAACAATCTTTCAAAGAGACCTATTCAGTCTAATGCAGTTGCATTGAAGTGGGATACATTGAGCATTTATGGCTGCAGTTTGGGACCCTGCATATTAAATGACCATTCCGTGTCATGTTTGTCTCTAATGGGACTCTGTGGGCAGTAATTCCAGGCATTGGTGATTGAGGATCCTGAAGATGAGATCTCGGAAACACTGTTTTAACGCAAATGTTCGTGTTTTCGTACACAAAGTGGGTAGAAATAAACTAACCCAGAGCTACACCCGAGCTGTGCTTCAGGTTCATCTCGGGGACATAAACATCACGCAGGCAAATGCTATTTATCTACTTATCCACCAGAACAAATTTAAAAGCAGAAAATAGAGCCAACTGACCATCTGGTGGTTCTTTCTCCTGCCCACTTGTAGTCAAAATAGCTAAAACTTGAGACAACACATGCGTTGTTCCAACAACAGACGATGCAAAACAGTTGTCTGTCCCGCTGTTTCTGAAGACGTGCCTGTCTGTGATGAAAATGAATCAATCCAGCTATGAAATGAAAACCTAAAAGGAAGTAAAGTAGCTGATATGGATATGAAACACTGTTCCTTTTTATCTGGAAGGGAGTATTTAATCTTTTTAGGTAATCTCTGTTATTCATCGTGTGTTACAGAACAGGACCATTCCACACACATATGTGTAACTTAGCCTTTATTTATGGTCAACCCTTTCGACTCAGTGCTGTGCTTGACCTCTCCCCATGTGGGGTCAGGACCTCTCAGACCGTCTGCTCTTGCTCTATAGCGGGCAGGCACACGCATTCGTCACATGATCGGCGGGATTATCCCTCTTCAGTTAATTCTGTATCTTTACAATCAGCTGTGGCTTAAAATGTGGAAGGGGAGGGAGGGGGAAGCTGAGGAGGAGAGAGATCAAGATATGAGATGATGTGTGGCTTCCTAAGCCATCGTATGGAGGCTGTGATGAGGATGTATTAGGTGCACGTGTGCGCGTGGCGGCAGCTGCACCCTAATTGAGATTTATATCCCGTTGCGCTCGCGAGGGAGGAATTCACTTTCAAAGTGGCTGTGTCACAGCTGCCGTGTGCCACGCCAAACATTCATTTCCTGAAGGCTGGGCCGCACTTAAAGGCAACATGAAACCGACCCGCCCGTGGACCCGCTCCCCCCACGAACCCGCAGGTCAAATCCCCAAAGCTGTCTCTGAAAGCAAACAGAGCTGAGATGTAGCTCCCTGTCAGCTGATTTCTGCTCAGACACGTGCACGCTTCTGTTCCGAGCGCCGGGATAATCATCCACGCTCTGAATTCTCATATCCTCCCACGCCAGAGTCTTTCTGCTCCCCCAAGCAGAAAACCAGAGCACCCCATCTTCACTCCTCTCATCTCTGCCTCTTAGACTGCAGTTGTCATCAAACCTCTGTATCTGTATGTGTTCATGCGTGTGTGAGTGTGTGTGTGTGTGTGTGTGTGTGTGTGTGTGTGTCACTCAGAGGCTGCCTAGAGGCTAAGCTTTGTAGGATTTGCCATTATTATTTCTGATGACTGGGAGTGATTCGGCTGCCAAAAGGGAACCCTGTGAATGAAGCTAAATGGAGGTGCAGTGCAGTACAGTATATTTACACAATCAGCTGTTGTTGTGTTCTTCTGCAGGTATGTGTGTGATAACGCGTCGTCAGCGTGCGTTTGCGAATTTGTTTTTTTATTTTATTTTGTGCACAATGCGCTCAGTGGCAAATAGCGAATCTGGCAGGGACTGTGTGGGCGGGAATCTACTTCAAGAGCATGTCGGAGCAATTAGAGTCGGCCCCAACAACAAATGCAAAAATGGTTTCACAAGCAAGATATCTGATTTATGAGAGCAGCGATACAACTGCAGCCTCCACGTGCATCCGGAGTCAGAGTGCACTGTTGTTGAAGGTTCAATTAAATGGGAAAATGGTGGGGAGGATCAGACGATAAGCAGAGAGGAGGGTGAGGTCACAGTCTGAACCCTCAGACCAATGAGAGTTAATCATTCTGACCTCCAGATTGTCCAACTTTCTGAATCAACAGGGAGGAACATCTGTTGAGGAGATGGATTTACACAAATATTTTGCACAATGGCATCATTGTCTTAGTTGGAATGAATAAACATAATTGTTTCCATTAAAATACATTCCTTGTACCTCTAACCTACCTCAGCCTCAGCATGGACTTTGCGTCCATGCTGAGGCTGTAGAAATGTGCACCAGATGTGCAGACTTTACACAGATTCCCATTCTGACTGCTAAGTTATGCCTTTTTAGGAGTTTTATGGGGAAATTTGAGCAACTTTAAGAACTTAAAACAAAATGTAAAACCAAAACTGAACTAAAAAAATGAGTTTTTGAAGGTTTTATGGTCCACAATGACATGTTTAGCTCAATGGTGGAGGACACTTTGGGGGTTGTGGAGGAGCATTTCAACGTGATACGTAGAGGATTAAGTGGTTTGTTTCAGGTATTCATCCGTCCATCTCTGTCTTCTCTGTAGGAGAATCACTGCAGACGGATAAAGATACTGGGGGACTGTTACTACTGCGTGTCTGGGCTGACCCAGCCCAAGGCGGACCACGCCCACTGCTGCGTGGAGATGGGGTTGGACATGATCGACACCATCGCGTGAGTGATGCCAAAACACAACCCCAAAGTGTTTCGCTTCAGTCTAAAATTCATCCTGTTTCTCTTGTAAATGTGGATTTTTCATGCAAAAGTTGAAGGTTTTGTTTAGAAATTTGCTCTTTAATTCAAACGAAAATAGCTTCCATCCATTCCAGACAGCCTCAGTTTGAGAAGCTCATTTTATTTTAGACTCGGTGGCCCATGTGTCTCCGCCTTCCCCTACAAGTGTGTTAACACATATGGCATCTTTACCTCGTTTCCTGGTGAGAGCGCTCACTTGTCATGTTCTTTCCCTGCTGCTCTGTCGCCGTGGATGGATGCTGCTGTCAGAGTCCTTTATCTCGGAGGACAGGTGCCGCCGCTCACACTCATCCGTCACTTTGTGAGACAGCCCTGCTCCAGTGTGACGTGCACGGCGCATTTTATTTCCCCCCTTTCTGTAAACACAGCCACGCAAACACAGTTTGTCAAACCCTTTTTCGTGCTCTCTGCTCCCCTCCTTTGACTCTGAATCACGCCTCGAGTGCAGAAATCTGGTTTTGGGTAGCATTGGTTTCTGCACCGCAGAGCAAACAGGACAAAGTCTTCATTGACCACCAGCTGAACGCCTCTCTGCAAACCTCTGCTGCACAACTCCTTATGATGCCATTTGGGATCCAAACCAATATATACATATATATAACCTTCCTTTTTCTCACAGGTCGGTTGTGGAGGCGACCGAGGTGGACCTGAACATGCGTGTGGGTCTGCACACGGGACGGGTGCTGTGTGGTGTGCTGGGCCTGAGGAAGTGGCAGTATGATGTCTGGTCAAACGATGTCACTTTAGCAAATGTAATGGAGGCTGGTGGCCTGCCCGGGTCAGTATTGACAGGTGCACACATGAGCTGAATGATTTCCACTATGCAGCACACAAAAGACAAATTTATGAACATATTTCTACAGCACATGTTTACCCTCTTGCAGATGTTTAAATACAGATACTCAGAATGTATCAATTTTCTTGTCACATTTACTGAATTTTAGCTTTTTTCCTCTTGTAATTGTCAGTTAGTTGACTCTCTTTTGTGTCCATGGGTGTCTCTGCTGTGTGTGTGCTGACTTTAGAGCCTCCAACAATCTTTGACACCCACAGGTTTTAGCAACCATAATGCAAACAGCTCCATCAGTGAAAACAGTAAGAAACTTACTAAATCACCAAATGAAATCAGCTAAATCAGCTTGACACTGATTATCTAACCTCAGTCTGACTGAATGCTGGGGGCCATTCAGAGAGCTGAGCACAAACCAAAGCTGCAAACCTCAAAGAGCTGGAGACCCATGGAGAGAGAAGAGGGTCAAAATTATTCCAAACCATGAGAGAGAGTAATAACCCCATCAGAAACCATTAGTTCAGCTTCCTGCTGGTAGAGGAGGAACTCTTTAGCTCCCAGTTTCCACATCTTGCTTTGATTTTGATAAATCCATTATAAACAGGCTTAAAATGTAATTAGTTAATACTCATAATACAAAAAAATTTAAAACCAAATATTTATTTCAATAGTATAATTATCATTGTGTTCTTATACATATTATTGTGAAATGGGGTGTTTCTGCCATATTTGTTAATTCTTACATTACTAATTCATGTGAGCAAGTAAGAGATAACTGAACTCTATAAAGTCTCTTATCTGAAGTCTCTGTTTCTTTAACAAAATATAGAAATATATATATTTTTTTGTTATCTTGATACATTTTTACTATAAACTAAAATGCTAAAAGAGGACATATTCTATAGGACCTTTTTTTAAACAAAGTTGAAGAAGTTGCAGAAATATGTGTAGCAAAGTCTGTGTATGGCGTTAAAGGGTTAATAAAGAAATGATTCAGTGACAGTCTTTTAAAAGGGATGGTAACTGGAGCTAAAAATAAATCAGACTTCTGATGTTTTGAGAATATCTCCTCGTTTAAGAAAATCGTGTAGAGCGAAAGACGAATTTGCATTTTAAAAAGCAGAAATGAGGTCACCTTTTAGGCCCCGTTTGGTCTGTTTCCAATGCATTAATAAGATTTTAGGATCACAGACCAGATTAAGTGAGTCATTAAGATGAAAACTTCTTCTTTGTGAAGTTTTTAGCAATCCGAGGGGCTATTAGCCTGATAAAAATAATGAGGGAATTAAGGGTTTGAGTCTTCAGCAACTTCGGTTTATCACTAACTGCTTTCCATCCTCTGCTGTGCTTGTGCTCCCAGCAAGGTGCACATCACGAGGACCACCCTGGAGTGTTTGAATGGCGACTACGAGGTGGAGCCGGGCTTTGGCCACGAGAGACACGCCTTCCTGCAGAAGCACCACATTGAGACCTTTTTCATCGTGCCGTCACACAGACGCAAAGTACGCCAGGATCAGTTCCTTCCCTGCTTTTCTGTCTAACATCTTGAGAGGTGACACAGCTGTCAGTGTTGTAATAGTTAATCCTCTGAAGCTGAGAGGGAAGCAGGCCATGTGTTAAACTGCCGAGCATCTCTCTTTCACACCAGCTGCACATGTGCAGCTAATAGCCCTCCAAATATCCACATGCACACACAAATCTAAACGTCATAAATCCAGGTTCCCGCTCACAGCTCGCTGTAAAACGACCCCCTTTAGGCTGCTTTATCTTCATGAATCTGCAGGAATATTAAACTCCTGTAATCCCTTTATGTCTGTTTATTCCACACAGTTTGAAATGTTTAGAGAAAGGATCAGTTTAGATCTGCTTGCCAGACAGACATGTTGGATTCTCACATAGGAAGATAAAAGTCAACACCGAGCCAGAAGTTTATTCTTTCCCAATAAACTTAAATTAAAGCCAACAGCAAACATTTGACTAATAAGAACAGATTTGTTCCTTAACATCTCATTCTGGAGCATCAAATTCTTGAGTTAATGAGTTAAAGGTTGATTTATTTTTAATGGATTGGTTCACACTGAATACATGAGATATTAATACCTGACAAGTAAGCAGATAACAATAAATAAGGGATTCTTCTGGGCTCAGCTCTCCCCCAACTTTCACTGTCAGCCTGCTCTTCATCCCCGGATATCTGTTGATAGTAATTACCCCTGAAAGTTGTTGTAGTTGTGGCCAAATGGCAGCTCCCAGGTGCACACATTGAATTAAGCGGGTACTGATGGAAGGAGTTGTGGTAGTGGAGGAAAAGGCAGCTGAATGAGCTATTGAAACACAACATATAAAATAAAATCCTTGTTGAATCGAATAAACCGCAAGCGTAACAATTAATTCACCCCTCTCTCTTTTTTAATTCCATCGCTTACAAGAACACAGCCTGTCAGCTTTTCTTTGTAAAGTCTCCTTGATTCATGATAGTCACATACAAGATTAAATTGAAGTTATTCCCCCCAGAAATGTTGCTCTCTGAAAGAGAAATGCTTGTGAATGCGAAAGTACCCGGTGTAAAAATCAGTGTCCATGCCTTTTAGGCTCTAAGCCAAAGTCACCTGTATTTGTTTTAACATCAAAAAGAGTATGCGCCGCACCAAAGCAGAGAGTAAATGTGGAGATAAAACCGCATAAATGTGTACAAACTGGAAAATGAAGACCTTAAAATATTCTGTTGAATGTGTAATCAGGCTTTACAGGAGAAATTGTTAATCTATTGCTGTTACAGTACCTTTACTCTCCTTTACTAAAATCCTTTATCTTTCTTTCAAGATTTTTCCCGGCATCATCCTGTCAGACATCAAACCAGCCAAGAGGATGAAGTTTAAGACGGTATGCTACCTGCTGGTGCAGCTCATGCACTGTAGGAAGATGTTCAAGGCCGAGATCCCCTTCTCCAACGTCATGACCTGCGAGGACGACGACAAGGTGGGAGAACAGGTCTATATGCATCGCGATGGATTACTCACTATGCATCTACGATATATTCTCAATAATGCGTGTGCATTTGCTGTTTTTTTTGTTATCTTTGCGTTTATAACAGCTTTTGAACTGCATTAGTGCTGCTGGGTCACAGTTGTGTGGATAAGTTGGTGCCCAACTGGGGTCCTGGCATCACATTTCCTGGCTGTCAGAAATAGCCTGCCGGCTCTAATCTGTCCAGCTGTGTGAGCTTGGCCAGGCATTAGTGCTCCATGACTCTGATGAGTTTGCAGTCTGACTGCTGGCAATCACCAACAGCCTCATGTCATTTCCTCTAATAGCATTAGACTCATTGTCACATTACGATCCAAGCAGCCAAAATCCACAGACAAGCTGCATTTTTTTTTATAAACACATGCTCGTTTTTATAACAACTGGAACGATTATTTTATTTATTTTCCTCGCAGCTGAATTAATGTGTGACCTTTCTAGATAAAAAAAAAGTTTGTTGGTGTTGTACCTCAGGTACATCCGAGCTTATTGTTTAAGGTGAATCTTAAACTTAATCTCTTAAGAAAAAGACCATAACATGATTGAAAGTGGACACCAAACTCCAAAAAGTAACCGTGACAAAAATGTTGAGCATAAAAAGGGACCTACTGATCAGGAAATTACTTAAAAATACACAAGACATCCAAAAAGACACAAAGTCCATGCTGAAACCTCAGAAATGTCCAGCAGATGTGCAGATTTTCCACACGTTTTTAATCAGAACTTCAGTTACTTTCATGTAACCACAAATATGATGTGATAGATTTGTTTGAACTTTTTCTAGGGATCAGAAAATGACGGAGCGCCTGTTTTGTCTCCTGTGCGTCTTACAGCGCAGGGCCCTGCGGACTGCGTCCGAGAAGCTGAGGAGCCGGACGTCCTTCTCGGGCGCGGCCGTCCAGCACTCGCCCGGGACCCGGGTCAACCGCTACATCGGCCGGCTCATCGAAGCGCGGCAGACCGAATCCCAGACCTCAGACTTCAACCATTTCACTCTGTTCTACAGGAGCAAAGACAGGGAGCGCAGGGTGAGGGCAGACACACAAACACACACACACACACGCACACACGCACACAACATCTGCAGGGAGGCAGAAGCTTGGAGTTCTCTTTACATCTGTGTGCACATGTAACTAGTTTACAGCTCGCTCGTGGCACGCAGGGAAAGATGCTTCGTGACTGCGTAACCCCCCCCCCCGCCTCATTCTCACACAACACACCCTACACAGTTTTTCTCCTTCTCCCACGCCCGTTGTCTGTGATGTCTGTGTGCGTGCGCGTGCGCTGGTATGAGGAAGCCGCCCACCCTCTCAGGAGGGGATGCAGATAATGATTCAGGAACGTCTGAGCAGCACACGTGACGGTGTTCTCATATGTGTGCGTGGGTATGGTGTCATAAAGGAGACACAGAACAGCCTGCGTGTTTATCTTTGTGTGTTTGCAGTTTTGACGTTCAAACCACTTGGATTGTAATTGAAATGTAGCTCAAAGTAAGAATAACAAAACTTCAGATAACTTTTAAACGTTCCAGATGTGCTTTTTTTTCAGATAAACAGTAGGACTGAAAGACTTGAATTAGTACCATGTGTTTGTTAAGTTACACACATCGTATGATAAAAGATAAACACTTCTCATTGCAGGTTTCAGGACACGTCGAACCATAAATGTACTGTGGTCATTACATATAATTCGCATAAGTTTTTATCTGCCTTAAAGCATTAAAGCATCCAGAATTTAAGATATATTATATTCTATCAATATCATCAATATTATTTAAGTCGATAAACAAATAACATCTCTGATGATATAAAATGATACTTATTCTTTTATAGTTATTTTAACTATCATAGTATACCCATTATGAAGATTGCAGCTCATATTACAAATTATACTTAAGTTAATGAGGCAGGGTACACCCCGGATAGAAAATGAAAACCATACAGAGTTTTTAGTGTCTCCTGCTGTGAGCAGGACTCTTTACCAATGTGATATTTGTTCTATTTCCCAATAGAACAGAATCAGCTGTGTGTGTGTGTGTGTTTTTTTATGTTTGTTTTTTTTACCTGCAGCCTTGTCCAAGCAGAATCTTTTAGGGGGCATTTGTATACAAATACAAGATGTTTTTTTTATATATAGTGTACTTAGAATAGTCCAAAAATATGCCAAAGTCCAGAGAGGCTGGAAAAGTCCTGTAACAAACTTGAAAACAAAACTGTATGGTGGATTCTCTCAATCGTTGACCATTTTTACTGGATGTAATTAATCATTTCTTACGGCTGTATGCTGACAGACCTTTTCATTAAGCTCTTTGTTCATGCTCTGGGTCAGAAGGTGGTGACCTATGCCCACCTTCTCTTTCAGGGATACTCTTTCAAAGTCATGACGTTGCCTGTTGACCTGTGAAACGTTCCAAACTGGTGTTTTTGGAGCATTTCTCAGCTTTGCCACTCATCTGTTACTCCTGTCCAAGCTTTGTTTGTAACATGTTGCAGTTTCAAACCCAAAATGTGGGACTACTTGCAAAAAACAGCAAAGTTTGAGAAGTCTGATTAATTGAAAATCAGTTGAAAAGGATTAACAAATCACATTATGTACATAATACGCACCCTCAACACACCTGGGGTTTGTACACTGACACCCTACTTGTGCGTTTGGTTCTTTTTTAGTATCACCAGGTCTACGACGACCATTTCATCAGCGCGGTGGTTCTCTCCCTGGTCCTCTCTTCTCTGTTTGGCCTTATCTATCTGCTCATGATCCCACAGTACGTCACGTCCTCTCACACACCGTGCTATCACGTCTGAGGCCCTCAGAAGTAGGCCTGTTTTCACTCTGGCTTCTCCTGGTCTGTCAGGGGGATGCTGGTGCTCCTGCTGGTGGTGCTGTGTGTGTGTTTCCACGTGGCCTGTGTGATGTACCTGCATCTCACCAGTGTTCAGGTAGGACAGCCTTGTTTTTACCACCAAAATGTCAAGGACTTTTTGAAAATAAAATTACTTAAACTTTTATTGTAAAGAGCCTGTCACAGATAATTGTCACAAAGTCCTCCACAGTCAAATGCTCAAAAACACAGATAAAACTAATTAGTAAAAGACTGATAAAAGGAAAAAAATACCACATTAAAAAGAGTTAAGTGACAAAAGTGAAGGTTCAAACTGATTACAAATTTAGCTGAAATAAAAAAGTTTTATGTTGCTTCTTAAAAGAGTCCACAGACTTTCCCAAGTTCGTTTTGTACATGTTGTTATTTCAAATATTTTGTGGTCGTTTTGTATCTTTTAGGGTTGTAGTTCTATTTTTTGTATGTTTTTAATCTTTTCTTTTTTTGCTTCTCTATGAGATATCCTCTTTAGTCATGGTCACTTAATGTTCCAACATTAATGGCAAAAAAGGTGTTTGTTTTTTTTATTTAGAATATTTAGCTAATTTAAACACAAGAGCCCGTTTTGCTATTTTTTTTTTTACAAATAATTGTAAATCTTTCTGGAATCTTTTGGATTTCTTGCCTAACCGTATTGTGACACAATGGCTTTGTGCCACATTGGGCCGTATTCATGTCCTTTACACTCTCCTAAACACACATTGGGGCCACTGGTGTGTCCAATAGACAATTAAAGTCGACAAGCAGGTGATTAATTTACTCTCTCTTTGTATTCTCTAACCCGTTCATCCACCCCCTTCACCTCTTTCCCATCTGGTTTTAGTGCCAACCCGGCTGTCTGACCATCCAGATCCGAACTGTCCTGTGTGTCTTCCTGGTTCTGCTCACCTACTCTGTAACCCAGGCTTGTGTGGTAAGTCTATGCATGCTGCATCGCTTTGGTTTCAGTCTGAATAAACTCTGGACTGTTGAAAGATGCATATTTTTCAGGGTTCACATTTGTGATATGTCGTGAATTTCTCTCTTTGAATGAAAGCAGTATTTGATGTGTTTGCCACAATTAGCTGACTCTTGCAAGGTGTCCTAGTGCACAAATGAAGCTTTTCTTATGTAATCTGTTAAGTTATGTTACAGTTTAGTACAGTTTGTTCATGTGTGGGATGAGCTTGGCTCTCTCTGGTGGTTTTCTCTTTTTGTAGATTTTTTGTAGATTTTTTGTTTTTATGTTTGTAAAACGTGTTTCTGATAAACTTTTGTGTTTATTTATCATTATATCATATCTGTATTTTTGGTGTTTTATGTCTTTTTATTGATAAATAGATTTTTCTCTGGTATTCTGTGTATTATAAATTAATCTTTTTATAATTTTTGTCTTCATTTCCGGTATTATTCTGCTTGTCTGTTTATTTCATTTTGTTTGTGTGCGTTTGTAGATTTATCCTGTACTTTTCCTGTTAGTTTTGTGTCCATATTTGCCATTTTCAGCTGATTAGGATCTCAAAGCTTATTCCCAGTTTCTTCCTTCTAACTTCAGCAAACTCTCTGGTGTTCCCTGAGATGTCAGAAATGCATCAAGCAGAACATTCAACCACTAAAATATCTTTTCTGTTCAGGAGTGACAGGAAATAAACAGAATTTGACATCTTGATAAAAAATAATACTGCTATTTGCTATTTTAAAAAAAGCTGACAACCAAAACAATTCTATTCTAGTGTTTAAAACAATGTGTGTAGATACAGACAGATATGAGGCTGAATGAGGCTTTTGAACAGGTGTTTCGGGTGGAATAAGACGTCTAACCCTGTTTATTGTCTTCCAGGTGGGCAGTGTCCCTTGGGGCAGAGTTGAGACAAACTCCAGCCGTTTTGTGGAGGACGTGCTCGGTGTGGAGCCTGAAAACAGCACGGCCGGGGGCGGGGCAGCCCCCAGCGTGGCCTACGCTCTCCTGTCCTGCGTGGCTGGGACCCTGACCATCGTCCCTTACCTCCGCGTGTCTTCACTCCCCAAGATCCTGCTGCTCCTCCTCCTGTCAGCCGCCTACACGGCTGTCATGGAGACCAGTGGTTATCGCCAAGCTGTGGGGTGAGACTGCCTCTGATTGTCGTGCAAGTCTTCTGCAAGTTGTTGACTGCATTTTAGGTTAACCACTCTTCGGTGAAATTACCTTCTAACTTCCCCCCAAAAATGTTAAAAGGGAGTCCTGTCATATCTTCACTGAATACCTTTAGTATTTTTTTTTTTACAGTAGTTGTATTTCTTTTCTTTCATTAGTTTAAATGTTGGATTTTTACTTAATGGAGCATTTACACACCATATCAATGGGCCACAAAATAAGTAGAACAATTCATTTGTTATCTTTGCTAATTATCTTCGTACTTTTCTTTTTATTACTTATTCATCCATTCATCTATCCATCCATTTTCTGTACCACTCATTCCCAACGGGGTTGTGGGGGTCCCACTATACAATAGGCGAAAGGCGGGGGAACACCCTGGATGGTCTGCCAGTCCATCGCAGGGCCTATATCTTCTTCATCTATAATTCAAATTAGGCCTCCAAAATGTTATAAAAATCTTAGAAATATGCTAAGTACTCAAATTTGCTTACTTTGTGTGTTTTGTCTTTTTATAGCGGTGGCTTTCTGCACACTCAAGGTTATGATCCAGTTTTGGCCATCCTGCTGTTTTCTGTAGCTCTGGCTCTTCATTCGAGACAACTGGACTATAAACTGCGGCTAGATTATCTCTGGGCCACTCGGGTGAGGCTTTGTTTGTATATTCAACACTTAAACATCTTACCACATCAGCTGGTTTAGTTTCCAATCCGATCATAAGGGAAAGAACTCTGTTAGGGCTCCAAAGACATCCTCCAAACCCTCTCCAACCAGCTCTGTGTCCTTTCTTTAAGGAGTCTTCAGGAATAGTTGTCCAGGCTTCTTGAAGGACATCCCAAAGCTCTTCTTTGGATGTGGGCTGCCTTTTGTTCCGTTCTCTGTCAGATGATCCATACTGCTTCAATAATGTGGAGCTCCGGCTCTGGGGAGGATTCATCCCTCCATCAGACCTGTTGCCATTGATTTTCAGTCCACTTTTTGTGTCACTGGGCAGAGCTGATAGACAGACACAACACTGGCTCACGCCTTGAGTTATGGGACCTCAGTTCCTTCAATTGATGGACACAGACATTTTAAAATAAACAGTTCTGTATAAAACAAATTGAAACGATCTTATTACTTCCCAAAACTAATGTCACATTATCTGAAAAGGGAGTTCTTTAATGGCTTCCTAAGATTTGATGGATTTCTTTTTTTCTTCTAATTGTGCTCAAAGCAGTCTTTCTCAACATTCAAACTATTGATGCAGAGCTTCCTGAGGAGAAGATATGTCTTCTACTTTTTTCTGTGTCAGATTAAATTCTAATAAATATTTTTTGTTTAGCCTCTTTCTCAGAGATCTAGTTTCTATTTTAAGAAAACTGTTTGCTGGCTTGTTTGCTAATCAGTATCTCCCTCTAGTGATGAAGACTAGCAATTACATCTCCATTTTTAGCTTTGAGCCACAAAAAGAGCTTCACAGGAGCACACATGTGTTTGTGCTGCTGATTAAATGCAGGCGGAGGAAGAAAGAGACGACATGGAGAAGGTGAAGCTGGACAACAAGAGGATCCTGTTCAACCTTCTACCAGCTCATGTGGCACAGCACTTCCTCATGTCCAACCCCAGAAACATGGTGAGCATCCAAAGACATCCAGCTGGCATCATACAGTTCAAAAACTCCTTGAGCGCACACGTTTGTTTCTTGTTTCATTATTCAATTGTAAAAAATCAGCCGAATATGCATTTTTGTCTGACAAGAGAAAGCAGGAAAAAAGAAAAAAAGTCTGTAAAGTCATCTTGAATCGCTACATTTTGAGTTATTACCCTACAAAAGCAAAAATATGTCCAATCTACATTGTTTCTGTGTGAATGGTATCTCCTGTATGTGTTATACTGGTGGGTTTTTAGATTTATGGAGCTGTCAACTCACCGCACAGAAAGTCATAGATGAGTTTTAGCTGAGACTGGGATGTCTGTGGTAGTACCAAACATGTCGGGATTTAAAGTACAGATCTGGTGGGGATTGAAAAAGAGAGGGCGATTGGTGTTTTGTGAATACAAAAAATCTGTGTTACTATCTGTTAGTTCTACTCTTTTTCTATTTTGTATTCGCTATGATTGAGCTAAAGGCTCCAGGAATCTGTCAGTTTACCTGCTAACCCCTTTTCAGACAGTTTTTTAGAGTTATTTCCAGTTTCTGGCTCTGGCTCTGTGGCTCATTGTAAGCCTGCAAAGCTACAAAAAGACTTGAGTTCTTTGAGTGTTTCCCATCCCTTAAGGACAATAGGGCCACTTCCCCTTGCCATGCATTGTGGTGTTAAAGTGGAAATGTGAGCTGGCAATCCTGTGTGTCAACTGATTGATGAACATCCCCTCATCTGATCTCTGTTACCCCTTCCTCAAACCCCCCTTTTTCCAACACAGGAAGCTATTAAGACAGTTTATAAAGGTTTATTAACACTGAAGCTGTACGGACAATGTCCTAAAAGTATGAACATATCTATCTGATATCAGTCTCAAATTTAGCTTCTGTATGGTTAATGCTGCAGGAAAATCCAGTGAAAAGTGTTCAGTATCTCTTTCATGGAAATGTTTTATTGTTACCCCTGAAGAGCTGGAAATGCTAAATGGCTGTTGTTCTCTGAGGCAAAGGGAAAGACAAAGTGTTCTCAGCATTGTTAGCATGCTTTGGAGTCTATCACAGAGAGTGGTGTTTCCGAAATGATTCAGAAAAGAGGCAGGAAACTTAAGTTAAGATCTGAAGGAGCAGAGACAGACAGAAGAGTGCTGCTGATCTTCAGGCACAGATGAATGTCTCTAGACCAGAGTTGGAGAAAGTCTCCAGCATGACTGATGGAAGAAGGCTTAAAGGGAAGAAGAGCTGCTAAGAAGCCATTACTGAGACCTGCAAACATCCACAAACACCTGGAGGACTGTAAGAGATGGAGGGGCCAGGTCAAGGTCCATGTGGGATTTAGGAGATTCAGAGACTGATCAAACAAAAGTTTCATCCAAACAAAGTCAGTGTGAACAGCCAGAAACTCTGTGGGACTTAATTAGAAGAGAAAGTGTCCCAATGGAGATAAAAACAAACAGTGGAAGAATGGACAAAGATTTTTAAGACCAAAGATTTGGTTTAGGGGTAATTAAACTTGCATTTAACTGCAATTGCTCATTTTTTCCAAATGGAAGGTTCAGAAGTTTTCCATCTTCAAGCTCCTTCCAAGCAAACATGCTGCATTCATCTTAATCTGAGCAGAGGATTTATTCATTTCTACCTCTGAATGAATCCAGGTGGCCTTGTTTATGGCTGTCTCCATTCTCTTCCTACTCTGGTTCAGGTTAAAGTTGGATTTTTCTGACCTACTTTAACATCTTTTCAGAATTTCTGCTCTTTTTATTCATGGGGGCTTTTTATGATTTGCATCTTTTAGGAAGCTCTATGTGTGTTGGTGTTAGTCTCGTCTATGTGGCAGCCCTGGGGGGTATTGTTTTTAACACGGCTTGGTGTTTTAAATGCAATTCTCTTGGAAGTTTTTATCACAATGACCTGTTTCACTCACTTTTTAAAGCACTTGTGGGTTCGTATCCACCGATTACAAATTAAAATGCTACTATAAAATGCTACTGCTAATTTAGGCAGAAATTATTCAAGACGACCAAAAAACTCTCAACACAGCAGCCTTTAAGACAACTATTGCAATAAATTTCAGATCTATAAAAAGAGATCTTCCCTTGCCCTAATTTTGAGTCTGAAATCCTTACATTGTGCTTTGATTCTGCACTAAACATTTAAATGGAATTAGTTGGACAAACAGCTGAAATAACAGCCTAACTATGTGAAGAATGTTAGAAGAGGTCACTGCTGCCCCATTAAATAACGGTAAATGGCACAATTTTTATCCTTCCACAATCAGCAGGTCAATGCATCAGACAGCGCGGGGATCATCTGAGGCTCAGATTGTTCAACATTGGGGGCAGGAAGCCAGGAAGTATGTTTCCAGCACATTGTTGACCCCACAGAGCTACAGTGTATAGAAAGACTTCCTCCGTTTCCTCTGGGCTAAAGTTTACCCATACACTGTATTCATAACACAACACAGAGGGACTCTGCTACCTGGAATTTTAAGTTTCGCTGCTCTAACGTAACGGTTTAAAAACATTTTCAGGAAACTAACCCCTTTTTTTATGAGTGAACATGTTGTCCTCATCTGTCCTATTCGAAGACATTCCAAAGCATTATAATAGCGCAAAATATTCCTGAAAACAAATAAAAACTAAACAAACTAATTACATTCGTTCATTTGTCCTATTTTTCAGCTCTCTGGGGTCTGATTTATCCTGATAGCAAAAAACTACTTCAAATGAGTAACTTTACAGGCCGTTCACTGCTTCAATAAAAATTTAATAATATTATACAGTAACTAGGACCTCGTGTATAAAATGTGTCAAATCAATTGTTGTGTTTTGTATAGCACATCCATCCATCCATCTCTTACTGTGTTCTTGTAGATTGCTGCATATTTTTTGGGGTGATGGATGTGATAACATTCCAGATTTGTCACCAGTCTGTAACTTAAGTAACAAACAACCATACACATACATCTTTTTTAACATCTATTTTGATGTGTAACCGGAAAGTTGTCTGAAAAGAGACCCCAAAATCATGTGTGCTTAAAGAGGAGACGATTAGGAAGCAGAATAGTAACAAAGTGGAGTATAAGGAGGAAGTTAAAAGCATTTTTCCCTGAGCATGATGGGAAATGTGATGAATGGAGGAGCTTTTAGCCCTGATGAGGACCCAGCAGGAATATGAGGCCGAGACATGGCTGCAGGAGCAGCTCTGACAGCTCTCTGCTCAGACTCTCCAGGCAGACAGAGATAGGACAGGAAAGATGCTTAACAACAGATCTGCAGCCCAGATGTTGAACAACTCTTCATGTTGTTACCAAGAAACAACCCATGTGTGACATCATCAGTCAAAAACACTCCCCTGATGGAGATCTCTGCAGCTTCCTGCCACACCTTTCTATCTGCTACATCTCAACTTTCAGCACCATGTTGGCTGATTTATATCATTTTTTTACATCCTATTTTTAGCCAAAGCCTTTCTATAATAACACATACTGCTGTAGAGGAATCATTTCCCTTCAGGGATGGGTAAAGAATAATTGAATGGAATTAAGATAAAATGTTTTTTTCACTTAGAGTGTGGTGTTCCTCCTTTCCACTCAGGATCTGAATACGTCTCCCACTGTTGGCTGAACTCAGGTTTGTCATTTGGGTAAAGCGACCCAGAGTTTAATCTTTAACTGTCTTCCCCCCAGGACCTGTACTACCAGTCCTACGCTCAAGTGGGAGTGCTGTTCGCCTCCATCGCCAACTTCAACGACTTCTACATCGAGCTTGACGGGAACAACATGGGAGTCGAGTGCCTGAGGCTGCTCAATGAGATCATCGCTGACTTTGATGAGGTGAGGGAAACGATTCATTCCATCCATAAAGCGGCTGGTTTTATATATTTTCCCCTGCAGATTGCATGTCTGCCTGCTCCTCTGAGGGACGCCTCAGCGCTGTGGGACTCCCATAATGTCATTTTTTAAAGATGACATTGTGGCTATGAGTGAGGTTTGAAAAGAAATACTGTTTATTGATGCGATATAACCAGTAATGGTGGCGGTTGGGAAAGTTCTTCAAAATTAGGAATTGCTTGCAGATGACGTTAGGCCTGCTTGAATCTATAAACAGCAACATAAAGCATTAATTTACACAAACACGAATGGACCATCTTGAATTGGATTTGGATTATTTGCCAGCTCAATCTAAGATATTTCCAAACGGAGGCTGGAACTTTGCCCGTATGTTATTATTTCATCCCATTTCTTCTTCTTTGTTTGTCTCTCCAGCTGATGGATAAAGAGTGCTACAGGGACATTGAGAAAATCAAGACCATTGGCAGTACATACATGGCGGCAGTAGGGCTGGTTCCCACAACTGCCTCCAAGGTAGCTAAAATGAAATCCTGTGTGAGTTTGACTCTGTTTTTGAGGAGTGTTAGCACGTTTTCAAGCGGCATTGCTGGGAGGCCTCGGATTTCCAGGTATTTTCTGTTTTTCTATTTATAACACTGCAACATTTCACTGCACATAATCCTCTGTGAGGGATTACCAGCCTCTGTGGCGTCAGCATTTTCTGCATTCATGAAGTTTTCTTAAACCCTGCAAAGCTGACCAACAAAAGCAGCCTTTCTGTAACTTCTGCAGAGGCTGATAAAAACTTATTTAACCGCCAGTCGCAGCTGCTGTTTGGGGAAAACCCAGCTGCGCGCTTAATCAGGCCAGGGCTGCAGAAATGGAGGTTAACCTCACTTCAGATGCAAGCATTCCCCGTCGATGCGTCAGTTCTTCGCATTGAGTGTGTTTTTCTGATTCATAGGGGAAGAAGTCCATCACCTCCCATTTATGCACGGTGTCAGACTTTGCCATTGAGATGTTTGACGTCCTGGACGCCATCAACTACCAGTCCTATAATGACTTTGTCCTCAGAGTAGGTGAGTGAAGAGATGCCCTCTCTCGCTGGCTTACTGAATATAAACTTCTGTGTCAGGCCTCCTGACCTGTTGCACAGGACACTACGGAGGCTCAGTGCCGGTAAGTTTGCCAGGAAATGCATCACAGAGCGAGCGTTCCCTTCAGGAAGCTCGTAACAGCCAGAACTGAAGCTCTGGGCTCCATTGTGTTAGGTATCCTGTGGGGAGCCTGCGACAGTAGTCCTTGTTTAATCCCTGTCTAACTTGTTGTACACTATTTTATCCTGTCTGCAAGAGCAGGGCTCCTCGGTTAACCCCACATTTGCAGAAACTTTGAGCAATTTACGCAATACTGGATTTCCTCTGTGCTGGGTGCCACGTCACTGTTTTTGTCTACTCTTAATGGCCTCAGTTAATAGTTTAGCAGAAGTCTTAAAACTCCTTTCAGATAGATTGATTGATAGTTTATGCAGTCCTGTGTGAGCTGAGTAAGCAATGCCTGTTTATCTGTAATAGATATAGTTATTGTTTATCTTTAATAATCTCGACAATAAATATAATGCCACAAGCTGTGGATTGTAATGACTTATGCAGCCTATGCGATGCACTGGTCTCCGTTTTGGCCTAATGATCAGGGATCTCTAAATTTGACATTTAGGTCCACTGTCCTGTGGGTTATAGATGTTTCCCTGCTTCTACACCTGATTCAAAGCATTGCACAGGTGTTTGCTAACTTCACAATATTCTTAAGAAATCTATTCAATACAAATCAGGTGTGTTCATGAGGGGAAACAATAAAAAAGCTGCAGGACAGCAGCTCTCAGGGAGCAGAGATTGGGTTTGGGAACACTGGCCAGGGCAAAGGGTGTCTTTTTTTTTGCTTTTGTTTTTTTACTGATGGTTTTTTCTGTTAAAAGTAAGATATTTAGACGAATAAATTCTAAAATCTAAACTATTTAAATTTTACACAACCATTCCAAGAGGAAAGCTGTCAACCTGTTGGATCAGCCCCATCAGCCGTTACTCGCCCTGTACATCTGAATATACACTAACACACTGTAACTCCTTTTGAAAAGTATCCAATTTGATTAAGGTTAATAATGAGAGAAATTTTATGGTTTATTCCTGCGTGCACTTTGTGGTTTCTCATCCATGTTAGTATATGCATGACTGCACTCTGTATGATGCATAGATGTACTTTAATCCACATTTTATGTGATTTTCACCATTTAATTTCTGACACAGTCTTTTTTATTTTAATAATACATGAGAGCCTTTAAAACTCTGTTATTATTTCTCATGACACCATTATGATTTAATAAGTAATACACACTGCATATTTATTAAACCTATGGTCTGCATTGATGGCTTTTATTAGTAATTGTAGATATTTTCAGAACTGACTGAAACACCGTGGACTGTGTTCACAACAGGTATCAACGTGGGTCCGGTGGTGGCAGGAGTGATTGGAGCCAGGAGGCCTCAGTATGACATCTGGGGAAACACGGTGAATGTAGCCAGCAGGATGGACAGCACAGGCGTGCAGGGAAAGATACAGGTAGTGTGTAATACTTTATATCCATGTAAATGTCTTATCTGGAAGACTAAAGGACTAATAAAAATAAGTTGGCTGCTAATTAGCTAATTAGCTACTGATATCATTTCTATCCTTTAAATCCATGAACAGGGTTTGAATTTCAAGTCATAAAAGAGTAAAACAGGATTCTTTTTGGGTTGTTGGGTAATATTTGTTTGACCTTTCCGGCTGATTATAAATCTGTTTTTGGGCTACATTTGAAGATTAACGAGCTGTGTTCATTCTGGTGGATTCCTCCATTTAAAGCAAGAATTATGTGAAAATGGTCTTATCTCCTATCAGCTTTTGCATTCAAAGATTTCCCTAAAGGTAACATGTAATTTATCGCATGTCACCACACACCAAGTTTCACAGCGTGGTCAGAAAGCTGGTTTTAAAGTGTGTCTGCAGGTATTTTTAGAGCATATCAGTCCCAACCAATTCAGTAATTCTTACAGATGGATAGAAACCTAATCATTTTTGGTATGAAAATGATTTAGGTGTATACAATTATGGCTTGTCCTCCACAAATACATAAATAGTCTCAAAAACATCTAAAAAATGTTTTTTTTTATCTTTGAAAGAGAAGATCCTGCACCCTAGTTACAAAAACATATGAGAGAGAAAAAAATGTGCTCCTTCACTCTGGCAACAAGAGTCAATTTACAATGAAAGATTAGCCTTAAATGCAGACTTTTGGACTGGGTGGGCGTGCCAGAGAAGCCATGCTGACAGAGGGAGAAGATGCAGACAAAATACAGAGGGAGTCTCCTCTTCTGTGCCCATCATTTTCCAATTTGAACCTTTCCTTTTTCATATTCACATATTTCAATAACAAAACTGTATCTTTTTAAACATTTGGGAAGTGAAACCTAGCAAAAGCATCCCTTAAAACTGGTTTAGGTCAAGCTAAAAGGGAGCATGCGTCATGCCATCATGAGGAAGACACCCTCTGGCTGTAGGCTAAATGCATTTGAAGCCCTACAGCTGAAGGATGCTCTGTCTGTAAGTGACGCTTTCTGCGTGTCTTCCCCCTCCAGGTGACAGAGGACGTTTACCGCCTCATCGCATCCTATTACAACTTTGTGTGCCGCGGCCAGGTCAGCGTGAAGGGCAAAGGTCAGATGCTGACGTACTTCCTGGAGGGACGTGGAGAAGGCGGGCGGCTGTCTCAGAGCCAGCAGCAGCCCCCCCCCGGCGGCGGGGCCGGGCGCCGTGCCAGCGCCTTCGCCCAGGGCGGCGTGTGCACCAGGCTGAGCCCCGCCCCCACCGTGGCCGCCTTCGCCAGCATCAGGACCCCCAGCCCCGGCCTCCCCAAGCCCAGCGCCTCCACCAGCAGCAGCAGGTACCTGCCCTCGGCGCCCACGGCCGTGATGTGACATGTGGCGTCCGCTTGTGAGCGAGGAAAAAAACGGAGGAGGTCAGACTGGGGGGAGGGGGGGGGCGGGCCAAAGGACGGCCGTAGCAGAGAAAGCTGTTCTCCAGCCTCCTCCGGTGAGTCCCGGCTTCAGGACGTCCTGAGCGGGACGCGGGCATCTTCAGCCCTGTTGCTCCACCCCGGATCAAAGGCCACGGATGTCTTCAGGATCTCAGAGTGTAGCATGCAAGCCTCAAAACGACAACGACCACGACAAATTCCTTTAACAGCTCAGCTGACCTTTCACTTCATGTGTAAAACCAAATCAGTGCTCTTGCCTTAGCAGCCACTCCTCACGGCAACTCTTTTGCCATCTTTTGTTGCCTTCCATCCATTGACGAATCGCTCACAGGGGCATCTTTGAGTTTTAAAGAAGATGACACCAAATGTTTGACGACAACAGGCGGTTGACGGTGAGCAAAAAAAACAACAGGCACTGCCTTCAGTCTCTTACGGGTTGGTGAGGCCTTTTAGTTCATTTTAGTTCCTTCATTTTAACCCCCGGTTGACCACACTTGAGATGAGGTCTTGACTCCTCAAGCCGAGCTGCATTTCATTTTGTTTGCGGTCGGCTTCCCTGTGATGCTCGACCTCCAGATTCTTCCTTGTCAAAGTGTAGCAATAAGGCGGTTTGTCTCCTTTCTCAGCCGGCTCCCCCTCTGCATGCCGAAGCCTGCCACATCCCACTTTTGACCCGATAGTGTTGTAGCCAGTAGAGTGCATAGCCACACCAGCCTTTATCTCTGTGGAGTTGAAGCATGACTTATAAAACTTAATTTCTGTGTGGTGTGATTCCCTCTTCTTCTAAGAATACAGATGGGAGCAAAGACTTTTTTTTCTCCGTTGCTTGTTTATGAAAACATATATTCTATGGTTAACATATTCTGCTATTTTTAAGAACTGAAAGCTGCTTTAATTGAGGAAAGACAACTTGTTTATGGGGAGACACCCAAACGCCCCCTGGTTCTGGCCTCATCGTGCAAACCGGGGTGATTTTTTTTCCTGGTGCAGCATGCCACTGGCAGCATGGCTCACCGCAGCCATTAGCTCTCCTTTAATCTGCTCTAGCATGCAGTGCCTGCACGCCTGTGGCTGCTACATGCATGCTTTGATGAGACGCTAGCGCAGGCCGAGCAGCGGACAGGCAGTGACTCTGTTTAATGTCGTCCTCATGCATGCGGTGAAGGTAGCAGTTCCTATTGAATGTAAGGTGCTTTTATTGACGCGTGTCCTCCCTGTGCTTGATGTTTGAATATTTTTGAGGACGTTTATTTCAGGATAGATAGACATCAGGCTGGGGGCTTCTCCTCCCCCTTCCTCCTCTTCCCTGCTCCTGCCGTAGTCAGCAGGCAGCCGGTTTTCTAACGTGCCAACCTATTTTCATAAACATATCAAACTTTTCTTGTCGAGCTGTAGCACAAATGAATGCATGTGGCTACGGTTATTGTGGAATTCCTGGTGTTGAATGGCTGTATTTTTACCATTTGAGCTTTTCTTTAAGAGTTTTGTAAAGTAAAAAAAACAGAAAGTGTTTGATTTTGGGGAAATTTGTTAGAAAAACACGAACTAACAGATAAGGTGTTGTGCTTCTTATCATGTTTATTATAGGTCTAAAATCTGGTAGCTGGGATGCTTTCTTTAAGGTGTAAAATTATTTTTATACACATGCTTTAAACAGGTGATGGAAAACTAAAGAAAATGAGTTATGTATAATATTTTTCCTGTAAATTGGATATTTTCTTACTGTATAATACGGGTTTAAAATAGTTATATGTCGGTATTGTTGGCTGATATATATATATTGATATATTGATATATATATATATATTGATATATATGTAGAGATAATAAATGATCTAATATTTGTCATGCTTTTTTGTTTAAATTGTATTTATTGAAATGTTTTCTGTGAATGTACATTTTGTTAAAGATATTTTATACTAAGTGTTTGCACTACTACCAGAATATTGACGTATTACGATTATAAGAATAAAGCCAGGAGGATGTGTCTCTTGTGCTCTTTTTCACTTGCACAGTTCAAACCGAAAGTTTCACAAACTCATGTTAGAGTTGCATAAGAGCAGAAAAACAGCAGATGATATAAGATGTTGGAGCGCAGAGGTCAATGTCGGCCTGATGCTGGCCTCTCGCTGACGATTGAAACACGTCTGTGGCCATGAGAACACACAACAGGGCTGATGTATCCTCATTCAGAGCAAGATCTGAGGGCATGTGTCACATTTATCCGTCAAGAGGATGAATAATGTTGAATGCAATCAAAACACTGAAAAGTTGAAGGCTGGGGATCAACAGACTTGTTTTATATCCTTTAGGTATATGGAAAAGGTTTATGATGTCACGGCTTGTTTGAATCACCAAACTCTGGAGTTTTATTTTCACCCATTTTATTGTACAGAAAGACCATCAAGACAACAGCACAGCTTTGAGTTTGTTAATCTGCCTCTAAATAATTTGAAGTTGTGTGAATTCACAGAAACTAACCAGGCAGAAGACTAGTCTCATTATGAAAAGACCAAATAAAGTAATATTTTACATTGTTTGTTATATAAAATCTGTCACTCCAAAATATACAATCCTGATGTGCAAAAGCACAAATCATAAATTACACACATAATTAGAGTATTTCTTTTGAAGTTTATTATTTAGATTGTTGATAAAAATCTGTTGTCTCATTTCAGGCTAATAATACAAAAAGTAGAATTTAAGTCGGGAAATGTTGTTTTCTCTATCAGATGCATTGTCACAGATTGCTGGGAAAACTAATCAAAATGCTGAAAAAGATGAGACTGTGGAGCAGGCTCATGAATTTTTAAGGTTTTAATCAACCAAAAACAGAGATGTCAACGCAAATCGTGAGATGATCTGACAGGTAAAACCAGAAGTTTGAATACCCAATGCACTGAAACAAGTGTTTGTAAATCTGCATTAGCTTTCGTCAGGTGCAACAGGAAAGGAAGTAAGACTAAGAAACCCAAAAAACCTGAAGGTAATCCTGTGAAATTGGTCCAAAAGAAGCATTCACAAACAAGGAGCAAGAAAGAGGATCAGCAGAGTTTAAAAACAACCGGATCTGCTTTTCTGGGCTCAAAGGTTTTTGGGCCGGACCATCAGACAGTATTAAACACAGATTGTGCTCGGATTAATAAAAATTCCATGCCTTTGTTGGATAAAATGGAGCAAAAGTTCCCACAGCCAGGCTCTGTAAATGGACGGAGTTGTAGCAAAGCTCATCAACATCAGCTTTGAAATGTTCTCTGAGACTCTGAAGTGACATATGCTGCCTTCAGTGACACGTCCTATACAGGGAAAAAGCACATTCCGACACTTTACAACGGCAGGACTGAGGAGGAAGAGGACACTGGTACTGGACCTACACCTCCTCAGCTCCTAGAGTGTTTCTGGGATTTGAGCCCAAAGACTTATCTCTGGGCTGGTTCCTTCAAAGGTCCTGCTTTTGTACTCCCATAGTTTTTTCTAATGGCTATTTTCAGGCCCTCTAAAAGTATAAATATGTGCCTTTGGGTCCAGTTAGTAGCCACAATGACTAAATAAGTCCAGAAAGTACATCAGGAGACATACATCGACCCTGTATTTTAAATTTACTTCTAAGTTTAGAAACCATTTGAATATATGCTGAAAACATTAATCAACATTCTGTTCACCTATATTCTCGTTTTATGTTGTTTCAGCTGTGTTTTTTTTAGTTTTTATCTGAGATTATGTTGATTCTATAGATGCCAATGTGCCTGTATTTGTGTAACAGACCTGCCACCACATGAAGATCCACTCCCTTCCCCATTTTTGCAGAGAAGGAGGGAGGGCATTACAAAACAGCAGTATGTTACTAAATGGATATAGATGCACGCAGAGTAAGGTGAAATAAATACCATCATCAAGTATGAAATCATGATAATATCAGGTCTTGACTCCTCTCCCTGAGGTATGTGTCCAAACTTTCGTGAGAGGCATCCCCCTCTTCTTCTTGGAGTCTTGGTTAAAAAATGTATTGCTCCAAGCTCTGAATATTGTTGAAAATGGCCATCCACTAACCAAAGCTTGATTTATATCGCCCTAAATGAAAAGACCATGACCCAAAACGGCCCTGACAGAACAACAAGCACTTCTCCCAATATGGCTTAAGAACTGTCCCAGAAAACGTGTGAGTGGTCATCGCTCTCATCTGGGCCACCGGTACGTCCAGATGTCTGTACTGAGGTTACGAAGTACTTGATACTATTTTTCTGTGCGAATACCTGACCTGAATACTGAAAACCTGTGGGTTTAAAGAGGTACTTTGTGTCTCAGTCATAGTTTTCCCACTTCTTTATTGGATTTGAATCTCTCTCTCCTATTTACTTAACATGAAGTGTAAAGTTTTGTTTTGATTGAACTAGATTCTAGTATAGTTCTCCAATTATTTTCCTAAACATTTGGGATTTTTAAGCCTTGGCCAACATTTATTTGAGGGGTGATTTGTATTTTAACCCAGTTGGCCTGACTGCGTCTTAATAATTCTGCATTATCAGACAGGAGAAACAGAGAAATGGCTCCTTGCTTTTCTCACAGTACATAACGTCTGCGCTCTCTGCCATGTTTTCTGCATACTTCTTTCTTATCCAAATCATAAGAGGCTTGTACAGTTTTAGCCTTCCAGATGTCGAGCCGCATCTGCTTGAGAGAGCCAGGAACAAGTTGGATTTGACCCAACACGCAGGTTTCACAACTCAGCTTTAAAAAACAAACAGCTCTGGGTGAGTTGTTTTTAATTTTTCTGTTTTTTTCAGGGTGGGGGTGTTCTCAGTGGGTTATGTACAGTGTTTTTGCTGCCTCCCTCCTCTCTCCTGCCCCGTGTTTTCTTAGTTGGAGGAAAAAGAAAACAAAACAAATGCGGGGCCTTATCATTTCGTCCGTTTGTGTTTGGAGCTGAGAGCGAAAGGATGT